CAGCAGGAAAATGGGATTTTTAAAAGCGAGAAGGTGCAACCTAACTCAGCTTTCAGCCTGGCAAACAGAACATGACTATGCTGAGAGAGTTTCAAAATCCCTTTCCAACTCTCCATCCAGCTAAAGGAAAGGTCAGGATATCACAAATTTGATTCAGCTTGACCACACAGGCTATTGTCAGAACGTGAACAAAATTGTAGCTATACCCTTGGCTTTTTCTCCTCATTAAATACACTCTAGATAGGAATTTGTCAAATATGTGTTTGTAAATATTTGGTCTCTCTTTGGTCCCTTAAACTGTATCTCTAGCATTACTTCTGTGTTTATGCCTTGGACATCAGTGGACCTAGTGCCTCAGTCAGATGCGAATGCTGAGCTGGGTATCACTGAGAGTGTGAGCTGATCTCAGTCCTGTTTTATTCCCTAGCGATCTTCTTGAGTAATGTTAGGCTATTATGTGTCCTTGGGTGACTGGTAATATCCTGACTATACCACCCAAATAACAAATCCTTCCCTTGTCCAAAAAACTTGTGTAGAATACGGTTCTGATCTGGAAGAAGACATAAAATCGGAAACGAGTGGCTACTTTGAACAGATTCTGGTTTGCCTTCTTCAGGTAATACTAGAGAAGAGCAATGAGGGTATAAAAATCTTCGTGTTTTTCTCTTCCTTTTTGGAGAAGACATGCAGTAGAAGAGGCAACATAGTCACGATCACCAGATAAACTGCAGAGACAAACATGTCACTTGGACTTCCAGCTTCAATGCGACTGAAGCAGGGAAACTCTCCTCCCTTAGCAGCAGTAAGAGAGCTGTGAACTTAGGCAGCTCTGCTGCAGGGAGACACCTCACTTTTATATATGTGTAAAGTCATTGTACTCTACAAGGGTCTTCAAAAACAATGCCCCTCACCTATGATTCACCACTCTTCCAGGGTCTGTCCCCCTCAATGCCGAATGCATTGGGATGCATTTATCCTATCACATTTTCTGAATTTTCCTGCTTAGCACCAGAATAAATTAGCAATTTTTTGGCTCTGCTTCATATAACTGATTTCAGTGTATTTCAGTGAAGGAGTTCTCACTTGTGCTGTCTGAAACACTACTGCTTGAGTACTCTGCAGAAATAGATAGCTGAGATGGATAATTGATCTTTGCCCAGAATGTACACTGCAATCCTTATATATGGAAGAATCTTCATGAGACAAAATGGTTACCTTTCTTTTTCTTCTCACAGGGTGAGAGGGACAATGCCACTCTCTATGTGGACACAGCACTGGCTCTCCAGGACGCACAGGTACTCTCAAATGCCTATGATGAGTGATATGCCTGCATCCCACCTGTCCTGAACTTTAGAGTGCGCTAGCAAGCAGAAGAGCCCTGGTCAGCAGAGAGCTGGAGCCACCATAGTTGGGGGAGGGTTGGTCTTGAAGCAGAAGCGACTTCGAGTTTCAGTTTTTCTTGCTCTGATTCAAAGAGGAGTGACAAGAGCTGGGCTTGGGCTCAGCTGCTTCTGACTGGTGAAAGTATACGGGTATAGTGGAGTGGAATAGCAAAGAGTATGGAAGAAATCTCAAGAGTATTTTTGACTGTTCTAGCTGCTGCAGGAGGGCTGGAAAGGGTGGAGATAGTGGCTGCTTCAATATGACGAAGAAACATGGTCAAAAGTTTTCATAATCAACCACTCTAGGAGAGTCTCGTTCACACAGTGTTTTCAGTTACTTCAAACCCCTTTATGCTAGCAGTGCCTTAAGCCAAACTCTGTTCCTTTACCAGCTGCACACATAGCACATCTAACAATTGCATGTTAATTTACAGGCTCTCTATGCGGCTGGGGAGAAGATACAGGGCACTGATGAGGTACAGTTCATCAAAATCTTGTGTGCAAGGAGTGCCACACACTTGCTGAAAGGTATGAGCAGAGCCCATACTCCCAAGCCTCTGAAATGAGAAATCTCTCTAGTCAAAAAGAAGAGTCAGGGCTATAGATGGTAAAGCTCAGTGGTCAGAGATCAGTACCTGAGTCTGCCTCCTAATCCTTGGTCACCAGTGATCAAAAGCTGCCAGCAGCTTTCATGAAAAGCTATGAATACTTATTGCTGCTGAAAATCAAGTGGCATATCTAGCCCTTATACAGCAGTGACGACTGGATGGTATAGCTATTTTTATAAATGCAAGGAAAGAGAGAGGGAGACTCCCTTTCTAACCAGGTAGGAGCATGCAGTGGACAGACGTGTGACTCCTTGGATCTGGATTCCTCTGGGAAAAAAAAATCACTGAAAAAGTAGCTGCTTATTCAGTGCTGGAGAATCACGGGGTGCACGCTGCGTTTCTGCCCCAGGTTCTTCTGAGGGCATGAGAGACTTCTGGGAGGAAAGACACTAACCCAGCTCCAGATAAGGGAGCCTTCAGCTCCCCACTGCCCAGTGCAGCAGAGACCTGGCCTTGTCATCTCAAGACTTTTGAGGCAGTCCAAGGCTCAAACTATCAGATTTTGTTGTGTTGACTGAATCTAAGCATAGCAAGTGCTGTGTAAATCAGCTGGACCTAAACTGATAAATTTAGCTGGTGATAAATTAGCTATGCCTGAGGTTTTTCAAGCTGAGGTCTTCTGAAGCTGTTTTCTAGGTCCTGGAGGCCAACTCCTCCTGGTGTTCCAGATTTGATCTCCCAGCATCACAGGAAAACAAACCAAAAAAAGTAGCATCTAGTCTTTGACTGTGTCTGCCTTTGAGAACTGAATTTCAGTTAGTTATTTTCAGGACACAACCACTCATTGGGATCTCCCGTATCTCCAAGCAAATGATTTCCTCTGTACTATGGCAGCTTGTAACTGTTTGTCTTTAAAACTTGAGTTTAATTGTTGCAGCTATTTTAAATTTTTTTTAAAATATGGAGAGTAGGCCTGAGTTGAGAAGGTTGTATCCATCTGTCTGTTCTGTGGTATTGTCTTTCCCAAAAGTATCTGAGAGTTAATATTTAGGTATCTGATCTTGAATGCTGAGCAAGCTTCATTAAGATGTTCGTTGCCTTACATAGCAGTTTTCCTTCTTTGTTAGTCTTAAAGTTAGGAGTCAAAACTGAGATCTGTAATTCTGAACCCCGGAGTATCCAGAATGTGTAAGGTGAACAACGACTCCGTTGTTGAGCTTTTGTTAATGTGAGAGTTCAGATATCTTGGAATCTGCACCTCCGTTTTGCTCATCTTTTCTGAGTTGTTTTTTTTTTTAAATTGTAGTTGAAATAATAAGTTTTCCCAAACTATTGTTATCATTTAAAAGTCCAAGGGCCATGAGCAGCATAGTCCTAGATTTAATTTGATTTGATTTTGGCTCCTGAAGCTAGTGACATCAACAAACAGAAGACCAGATAGAGTTGTGCCTAACCTCCTGTTAACCACAGAAATGAAGCAAAGACAGTGATGAAGGGTCAGATTTCCAAATAAGTATGAGGTGACTGCGCTTGCATTTTCAATTGAAGGCAGGGAATTCAAGGCGCGTGAATGGGTTGGGTTTTTGTGAGTGTTGCCATCAGTCTTTGTAGCTGATTTATGGGCTTGACTAAAGCCTCTTGAAGCTGGTACAAATATGTCCATTGCTTTAGCATGATCTGTGGTTTCCTATCGCCACACAAGCCACACCTGTAAATATTAGACACAAAATGCCTGAGCAGCTGCTTGGTAAAAAGTTCAAGTTCTTTGTGTTTCAAACACAGTTCACTGTGTTTCAAACAGTGTTTGAAGAATATCAGAAGCTGGCCGGAAAGAGCATAGAAGACTCTATCAAGAGTGAAACCTCTGGTTCGCTTGAGGATGCCATGCTGGCTATTGGTAAGAATAGCTACATTTCCCTTTCTTTTATCTGAGTCTGCTGCCTTTTCTCCTGCAGCAGTTGACTGTTAAGGGATGGATCTAATTTATAAAGATATCTGGTAGAAAGTAAAGGGTGCTTCTTAGGTAAGATAAACTCAAATCCCAAGGCACGCAGAATTAATGGAAAGCATGTTGAATCTCTTTTACTTGCTGCCTAGGACTGGAAATAGCATTGATTCTTACTGAGCCTTTTTGTATGCCTAGTGAAATGCACCAGGAGTGTCCATCGCTACTTTGCAGAGAGGCTGTACCACGCTTTAAAGGTAAGACTCTTCATTGTAACATATTTGTTTTCATACTAGACTTGACTTTACTTTCAACCTGGCTTCCCTCAATTTAAATCAGAAGAGCCAAGGTTTTGGTGAAATCCAGCAAGTTTTGTGCTATTGTTGCAAGTAATAGCAGAATCCCTTCAAACACCTTGGGCAGAAAAGTACCCTTTAATCTTGAGTTACCAAGGGAGTCTGTCTTTTCTGACTTAGGAGTCCCACCTTATGGAACATGAACAAAACTTCTGGAAGATGGTTTTCTGGGAAGTTGATCATGGTGGACTTTTGCCCATAATGTTAACTTAGTGGACTGAATCACAATATTTTCTTTTTAGGAAGCAATTTTCTCAATGGCAGTATAATGTGAGAGTTCCAAATGGAGGCACATAAGGCATCTGCAGATTGTGCCCCTGTAACTCTTAACTGATACATAAAAGATATCAGCTCTCCTAACTTTGTGGAAAACTGAGATGAGTGATTATTTTTGTTCTCAATGTGATCTTAATTTTCCTGTGACTGATTAAACAGTATTGGTTAAAGCCAAGTGTTGTATGGTGGTGCTGCAGAAGGACAACATGTATTCAGTGCCCACTTCCAACACTATAGCATGTTTGCTTTTGCGTTTGACATGTGCAAAGGTTTATAGCACACTTCCATGGTGGGCTCGTGGCATTGACAGTGGCCTCTGGGAGGTAGGTGGGGCTTAGCCCTCCAGAATAACAAGCAGATGTGCTGCAGAACATGTGCCAAACAATGTTGAAAGCTGACTCCTTCTGACCTGAACCAGTTTTCAAGAGCTTATCTCATGAACACTCACTAACATCACAGACTGATATATCTGTTGTTTCAGGGGGCTGGCACCAGTGATGGCACTCTTACAAGGGTGATCGTTTCTCGAAGTGAAGTTGACTTAAATCTTATACAGGCTGAATTCAAGCATATTGCAGGAAAGTCTCTCTCCAGTATGATTCTGGTAAGCAGCATCTTGATATGATGGTTCTTGGCCATCACATATATTCCTGACCTGTCTGGCACTGTGGGATGCTTTCATGGCTGTTTTCAGTAAAAATGTCGTCTCTGCTAAGATCGTAGCTCTCTTTCATTAGGCCTGTTAACAGGCATCTCCTTGAGAGACATATATGCCTGAAAAGTGAGTCAGATTGTATGCTCTGTAAGTGATTCGGGCAAAGCCAAACACGAGGAGAGCCTGCTCCAGGTTTTTCATGAACTAGACTCTGTATCCGTGCACTTCATGATCTCCTAGATGAATCTAGATTCATTTAATCCTTCCTGTTACACTTTTCCCACACTGCTGTGCCATGCTCTCCTCTCCTTCTGTTGCCCTTAACCACCTCAAGCCAGTGTCATGTAAATCAAAACAGTACTGGGTTTTTTATCTTATCTTTTCTTTTTGTTGTTGGTTGGTTTTTTAGCTGACTCATCCCAGATGAAAGCCTGGTCAATGTTGTGGTGAGATAGGTTTAGAAAGTGAACCTTGTCAAAGCTTATTGTAGCTTTTGAAGTTTGAGTCTCAGCTCTGAAGTGAATGACCCTCCTCAATTAGGGCTGAAATTCTGGGTTTTACCATTTGTCCTAAGGACTCTGAGACATTCCTCTCCCTCAGTGCAAATGGCACAGAAGCCCTATCCTTGGCAGACCTCATGAGAAGTCTGGTTCTGTAATGAAGGCCCTTTCTTCTAATTGGCACTGTCAGTGTCTGTCATGTTGATTAATGACCAGTTTTCAAGGGTCTGTACAGAGTATTCATTCCTTCTGAGAAGTGGAACTGACTTTACACCTGTCGTCACAAAACATTCGAAGGGAGCAGATATTTTTTCTGGTAATATTTTCGACAGTGCTTCTCTAGATCAAAATGACCATATTTGTGGCTTTTTAAAAAACGTCATGTGTCAGGGCTAACTATATTGCCCTTTCCCTTCCTGTAGGGAGGAGATGCTACACAAATACCCAAGGACATATAATCTGAACGCAACAGGCTTGGTTGCTCTCATTTGTGCTGACTTTGTCTGTGCTGCTCTGTGGGATGAAGCCCTGATCAATTGCTTGCCTGGATTCCAAAGAAAAGAATTGGACTTGATAAATGTTATTTCAAATGGCAGCTATAAGCGCCATTTCTCTGTTCACTTTTGATGATGTCTCAGCTGGCAGTAACTCTGCTGAAATTTGGCTTACCCTTTCCAAAGTCCTTTTCCTGTGTGGACATATTCCATGGACTGGACTGACAAAGTCAGCACTCGGAGCATGCAGAGGAACTTTCACGTTCGACTTTTTTTTTTATTTTTTCTCCTGTCAGGATGACACCAGTGGCGATTACAAGACAGCCTTGCTGAATCTCTGTGGCAGTGACTGACAAAATCTAAGAGGAAGATGTTGAAATGGATACAGGGAGAAAGTTAACAGTGAACAAGGGTCTGAAGATATACATGTAGAAAATCTTTCTGTTGATCGAAGTCGGGAAAAAAAGATGATCAAATTAATGGTCAAGACTTCTGCAGCTCTCTGAAGGATGTGGGTGCTCATTACATATTAAAAGCTATTCGTTACCCCAACAGTTTTTCAAACACAAGTGGGAATGTTTTCTTATTTGTTTCCATTTTATTCTGTGCAATTTCCCTTCTCTTTTAACACACTGTAAATGGTGGCTCTTGGATGTGAAATTAAAGGCTTTTTAAAACCCTCTGTAGATGTTTCACAGGTCTGAACAACCCTACAAAGCATGGCTGTCCTGAAGCCTTGCTAACTTCACTAGGACAAGCTGGTATAGCACCGACCATTTGATGCTAGCAGGGTAGGTCTGGAAGGAGTCCCAGATATTAATGAGGCTTTAGGGCATGGAACAGAATGGAGAATTCAGTCCTAGAGGGCTGGTTTAGCAGCCTCATCTGCATAATGTCAGTGGGGACTCCCCAAGGAGCAGGGAATGGCAGAGCCAAACTGGCTGTAAGCATGTGAAAGTTGAATGCTGTATGCCTGGTTTCCTTCTTGCTTGTGTGACTGTTTGTGAGGGGGAGACAGGCAAGTTCAGGGTGTGATATCAATGTCAGAGTGTGGGGAAATCAAAACTCAGGTGGATGGTTCGTTTTTGTGAATATAGGATATCCTGCTCTTGGGAGCAAACTTGTTTCTGCTCCTGCTTTCACACTAACTTCACAGAGGTCAGTGGACTCCTTGGAAATTGCCCCTCACCTCCATGGCTGCACCTATCACTCACTGAGTGAGGCTGCAAATTTGGACAGGATTAAGTGCTTTGAGAAGCTCAGGTCTGCCTTAACCAATGATTCTCCACATTTAAAGCAACTCATTTAAATGTGTAATTACCAAAACCCCTTGTGTTCAGAGAAGTAGCTTTTTCTCATCAAGTGGGTGAATTTTCTGGCAGGAGGGATAGTTCTTCCTCGGCACTGCTGAAAAGAGCAGGAATTGGTGTAGCGAAAGTGGTGAGTTCAAATGGTCTTAGGGAGCCCAGGACCCAGAGCTGGAGCCAGGGTATTTGCATCCCTCAGGTGAACAGGAAGAGGTTTCAATCTCTGATCCTTTACGTGCTTGTGTTTTCAGTGAGAACCTAATTTCTCACCTGGACTACAAAGAGTTGGAGACAGGTCTCTAGACTGAGCATCAAGGGGAGGTTCTTCACTCATTTTTTGGGGGGATGTGGGCCAGCTCCAGGCATCAAAGGACCAGAAATCACATGTGCCTTCTGCTGGCCGGAGGACCCACTTGATTTTTGGGAGAGCCACTAGTTCTCATCAACAATGACGACCAGCCTTCCTCTATTTTTTTCTTAAGAGCAGGTTCAGGAGCTGATTTCCAGCGAGGGGCGTGCCAGGACCTGGGAATGGGATGCCTGCTGCGGAGAAAACCGTGCTCACACCACCATCTGGTGGGTGGCAGCCGGTGTGCAGCCCGGGCGGCGGGACCGCGGCGGGGAGCTCACGGACCCCCCACGGGGCTCTGCCCGCGTCCTGCCGCCCCCCGCCTTCCTCCGAGGAGGCGGGTGAGCGAGCATCCTGGTCACCCCCCTCCCCTCGCCTCCCCGAGTAGTGCCCAAACGCCTCCATCACAGGCCAGGGCTCCCGCGGGAGAGATGCAGAACAGACACGGGGTGGTGAGGTTTGCTCCCCTTTAAACAAGGCACATTCCCCCCTCCCCAGCTGTTTTAACATCTGTAATGAAGAGTTGCATTTGCTGTCAGGTGTCCCATTCGTGACTGCAGTTTAGGGACTCTCACTCTGCAGTCACTTCGTTCTGGTATGGCTAATGTTCTTCTATCTGCAGAAATGCTTTCTTCTGGCCAGATCTGTGTGAAAAGGCTTTAGTGAAAATATGAGCCATTCCCTCCACGTTTAGTGTATCATCTAGGAAAGGGCAAATGGGAATTTGTAACTGCCTAAACAGGGAGCGTGAATGATTTATACGGTTGTACTCAACATCTGCATCTCCTGAGGTTGGACAGACAGCGAGTGAGAAGTGACACCAGCTTTGAGGGACTTGAAATCTGAATAGTCTAATAAGAGCTCAGATCTTCAAAGGTATTTTAGTTCAGAGTTGTCTGTTGATTTCACTGAAACTTTTGTGCTTATATCATCTTGCAGCTCTTGAACCAGGTTATTGAGGTCAGAGGCTGGCTTTTCTTATTGGCCTATACTTAGCACAGTGGTTTAGGATTAGAGTTGTTTCAGTGTGATTGTGGTCTCAATTTATTAATGACAACTTGAGAGACGTAAGGTGACCTGCCCATAGACTCACAGGAGATCAGTAGTAAAGCTGGCAAGGAAGAACAACTGAGGGAAGTTGATTCTATCACTATAATCGCTGGGAAACAAAACAATTGTAATACATCAATAAAGATTTAATTACATATTGATTGCTGCTAAAATGTTCCCTGGGTGAACAGGTTCTTTAATAAAGTGGAATCAATTCCTAAGCTGTCTAACCAGTTTTTTCCAAATGCAAATATTGACTTAAGGCCTTTCTATTCATTCACAGTTTAATTAACATGATTTTATTGCACAAAAATCAAGACAAACGCTTAGCAAGGAAAAGGTAACAGGGGCAATGTAAAAAATGCCCAGGACTGGTGCAGGCCTTCTTCTGCCTGTGTTGCAGCCTATGTCCACCTCCTGTGCTGCAGGAAAACCTGTATATGGGGAATCTCCACAGACTGCATTAATGCTGCCTTGCTATCCCTCCCTGTGTCCTTGGACGCAGCACATACATGGCAGCAGCTGTGCTAACAGGCAGCGTGATGGGGTGTAGGTACTTTAGCTGTCTGCTCAGCTCACACTCAGGTGTACATAGGAATAGTTGACTCCACTAGCTCTTTTCCTGACACCTTGGAAAGCTAACAAAAAATCTGTTCTATAAAAATCTATATGCCAATGCACATAAATCATATTTAGTGCCGGGAGGCTCCCATTCCAGAGAAAGCTGACTTTATATAGTGTTGCTTAATTCTCCCAGCATCCCAGTGCAGATGTGGCCTGAAACCCAGAAGGCTGACCACAGGATCCCCAGGCAGTGGCCAGCCACGAGCAAGCAAAGGCTCTGATTAACAAGTATCTTATCACTCTGACTTACGGAGAGAAGAAGAAAAGATTGGATGGGTCTGGCTTCATTTGCATTTCTATTTTGCAACATTTTGGAGGAATTTTTGGATAAAATATATTTAAACATTCAAACTGAGGTTAGAAAAAAAAATGTTATTTCTGTCAGGAAGTGGAAGAAGAGAACAGCTAATATCTTAGTTGGACAAAGTGGGAGATCTCTTTCCCATCTCCCTATGCTTAGGAATGTTTTTAAGGGGGGAGAAGGTAACCTGAGAAGCATGTTCAATCTTCCCAGTTCCCTATGGTTTCCCCAGTAGTGCACGGAGACACCCTGGGTGGTGTGGACTCTTGAGCACGGACTAAAAAAAAGAGCCCTGCCAGAGCCACCAGAGCTGGCACTGGGGCATCTGTGAGGAAGACCAGACAGCACATCTTCTCTTCAGAACAGAGGATGAGTTCACCAAAACACAGGACAGCACAGCTTGTGGCCCAGAGGGGAAGGGGAGGTGGGTTATGCTAGCATGGATGGCCATATTAGTTGCTCTGGGGTAGGCTGAAGGGAGGCTTGAGTGGAGAGCATACTCATTGCTGGGCAGATGGGAGCCTTTCTGAATGGAAAATGCTGATTATTTTTTATTCTTAAATTAATAAATTAATGTTAAATTGGTGTTGATTTATTAATGTAATGTGCTGCAGTGAGGAAATACGGCCTTCCACAGGCATCTAGATGGGATAATAGTCTCCTAATGTTGTGGCTTATTGCTTGGCTTTCTTGAAGGAGCTGTTTTGCTGGCAAGGTGGCCATCTTATGATGAAATGGTAGACCTTCCTCGAGACCTACTGGATGGTATCTTCCTTGCAGGGAAGATAGTAACAAACTGTAAAATACTAAGATGGGACTGTGTCAAAGATGTAACGGGCTTTCATAGAATCATAGAATCATAGTATGGTTTGAGTTGGAAGGGGCCTTATAGATCATATAGTTCCAACTCTTCTGCCATGGGCAGGGACGCCTTCCACTAGACCACTAGAGTCCACCACCTTCCACTAGATTATTACCTTCGATTTCTGCCCTGAACTTGAATGCCCGAGCTGACTCCAAAGACTCTTCACTTCTTTAGTGGTTGAGGTCATTAAGTGCAGCACATCCCTGTGCCTGGTATACTACAGCAGCACATAGATGTTTTGTTTGATGCAGTGCAGTGACTTCGTCTCCTCAGACCATATGTAAACAAGAAGGTCACTCCAATTCTCCATCACTGAAAACAATGCTGTCCCAGCTGAAACCAGGACATAAGTAGTAGTTGTTCAGTCTTCTGGTGTCATCCACTTGAACCCAAAGGATCCATCTCTGAGATTCCAAGAAATTATCAGTAGAGAATTTGTTGTTTACTAAAAACCCTATGTTAGGCTGCAGGAAGAGATTTGTACTTTAGGTACATCTGACTGTCCTCCCAGAAGATGATAGAAACGATCAGCCCTGGAGACCTGTGCTCCTGTCTATTTGGAGGAAAGTATGATTTGTTCAAGCTGTGCTTCTGTTTTCCACCAAATCCCTTCCTGTTCCAAATCTCCATTAGCCATAGTGTGTCAGCATCATGCCTTGGACTGCTCGTGTCTGTTGGAGGCTTAGGACTGGCATTTCTGACTGAAAGTTGTGTGCCTGACAGTTAAGGATGTCAGTGGCACGGGAGTTCAAAGCTCCCAGGAACTTTAGCCCATAATACTTAGTATTTCTTTGAAATTAGAAGAATGCATATGATTATATTTTTCTATGACATATAAATCATATGAATACCTCTAA